AAACTACTTCTGAAGATGCAAGCCACTCGTGCTTGCGAAACGCCAAGAACAAATTCTACCCAACGACGGCCTAAAAACCCGAAAAACCCATTAGTTTCAAGGAATGGCCTCGAAAGTCTATCTCTTTTGATACTACTAATATTACTGTAGGATTTTTAATGGCGAAAAATTAGAATAAGTAAATCGGTCTTTGTTGTGGCATCAAATTGATCTAAACTGCTCAGCGAAAGGAATGTTTCACGTCCAAATTTTCTGCAACTTTGAAACTGGGGTAAATTCCGACTGCTGCCGTCGATTTTATTTCTGTTTGAAGTCTTATTCAGTCCAATAATTTTTCTGTCAGCGCCTGGATTTGCAAGAATTGTGTCCTTCACATAAAGTTTCTACATGGTGTGAATTGAAACAATGCTACATTTCTGAATATTCGACATGCGCCCAGTTGAACAAAGAACAACTTTTGATCTTGCAGTAATTCCATATTTCTTCTGGGGCCGATTTTCAAAATCTGGGGCTCCGTTCATTGATGCAACCCTGTAAGAATATCGAGTATTTTTCTTAAGTTGATTATTAAGTTTTAACATGTGTTTTGTCTTCCAAAATCGGTTCAAGAGAAAAAATGTAACACCAAAAGTTTCATTTGAGATCGCCCTACCAATAATGGAAATAAACAAAAAAAATCAAAAATAATGTTGATATATGAGCTTCTTTATGCCTTTGCTGTCGAAGTAAAAAAACCGTTTTTGTCCAACTGCCAAACTTTGCACGGTTTGCCCGCACTGTAGGAAATTTATCAAATGTACGTAACTTTTGTAAAAACTCAGACGACTGACAGAAACTTAAATGTTCTAATAAACGCCTCAAACAGAAATCAAATTGCTTGCAGCAATACAATTTTAAACAGTTTCAAAATTTGGACAGATTTGGCAGTGTACAAACCATATGTTTTATGCATGAAATCTGTGAAGTAAATTGGCTAAAAACAAGTGTTTGTTGTCGAATAAATAAAGTGTAAAGAGTCAATTTGCCAGAAAACTGCCAAATAAAAATTGACTACATTTTTCAGATAACTTTTTGCGTGCAGTTTAACGCCGGAATTCACTGACTTTCTCCATCCGTTGAAAGCCAAACATATTCCATTTAATTTTTTATTTCACCAAATAAGATTTTAGAACGCTTGTTTTGATTTAGTTTGTTTTGCGCGTAACTTAATTATCGTTTGCATTTAGATAGTTGATTTTGCAACAGTATTTAACATTTCTTCGCCATTTGCCTGCTTCTGCACATTATTGAAGGTTATTTTGGTAGAACTCTTGCAAGAACGCAACTTTTTAGTAAATGTAGGACTAGGAAGGAAATCAGCTGCTAAAAATGTTTGTTGAAGTTCAGGCTTTTGAAAAACTGTAATACTCAGTCAACTGAAAATTTAGTTTAATAATTATCATAATTTATTTAAACGTGATGCCATTAATAATAAGAATTGTGATTATAAACCTGCATCCACCATGAACATAATTACACATTTACCTATATTTATCAGGCTTACGGTAATTCGATCAGCAGAAGCTTCCAGTCTGATTTATGGGGTGAGAAACCGGCGAGTTATAGAAGATGATTTTAGCCATTCAGTGAGAAATGTTAAGAGAATAATCGATCTTGGGCGATTTGTACAAGCAGAATGGGCAAAAAATTACATGGTGACAGTTTTTTGCTCGCTTGCACCAATAAGCAATACAAAGTTGTGATTATCGAAGAATGTAGGCTTTCGCGACCAAAGCTTTTATGAGTGAAACTGGTTTCCGCTTTTATAGGCCGTGGTCCGATGATATTTCTGAGAGCAAAGGAAAACTGCTAAAGCCATTAATCATATAAATAAATGCGCTAAAAAGTGGAATGCACCATAACATGGATTCAATACACCCCCTCGAACAGGAGTTAAAGACGACATTTTTATTTCTAGAACAGCATAAGATATTTGCCAGATTGGATTTAAAAGTTGATTGCACTAAATAAAAAAAAAATTGGACTAAAGTAGGAAAAGCAATATGTATCTGCTGAAAAAACGCCTATTAGCTTGTAATCAAGCCATTGAGCCTGTTCAACTTTAAGCAACTGACTAGTCAGCATGGTAAATTAAAAATCTCCAACTGAAAAAGTAGCATATAAAGCAATTAAGAGACTTTGTTTACCTTCAAAAATGCGATGATGTAACAGTTTCTACGATGCCAACAAACTCTTGGACATTTTTAACGGTTTCTAATTATCAGAAAAGGACACAAGCAGTTTGAGAGAAGAACAAGCGAGAGACGTGGACCAGATTAATTTGGTTACTGACCTTGATTTGATCCTTGCCTGGTTATTATCATACACTTCTTGTTTCTTGCGTTTTGACTTATTTTGAGACGAGGCTATTGTTCAGATGGTTGCTAATTTCATCTTTATACAATAGGAAGGATTTACAGTTTTAAACAAATAACGCTAATAGATCAAACTAGGTTCCTATAAGTATTTGATTCTGGGTCAATCTGAGCATATAATTAGAAGAATGACATCAGGATTTAAGCACAGAAGAACGGAAGTTTAAAGACCTTAAAAGATTAGAAAGAGTTTAAGATCCTTAAAAACATGTTTCTTGTTGGGTATCTTTCCATTTGCTCTTCCACTACTTTTCTTCTCCAAAATAAAATAATTCTTCGATTCAAAATATGATCTGTTCGAATATGGCGCACTACTTTATCCCTGTTTATGAACCTCCAGGCATTTGAGCCTTGATTACGACCACAACAAAACTATTACTATCTCAAATACACGAATCACGTGTGTAAATATAATATGCGCGAGAAAACAACCGAGTCGTAGTAACGTATATTTTTTATCTAAGTACACGACTAAATCAATATCAATATTGGATTTTTATGAGCTTATGACAAATAACATTTTATTACTGATACTGGTGTCGAATGCTATTATTTGAATCAGAAAATGAAAAAATCAATTTTATTTTGTCATTTAATTTACCATAAAATTTTTATTAATGAAATATAGTAACACTTCATAAACATATGTATTATTAACAAAACAATTTACGATTTACTTAACTGAATAACAAACTAGCTATTTTTGCATTAAAAAATTAAATTGATTAAAATTGAACGATTGTTGGTAGGTATTAAGTCTTGCCGATCGTAACAATGTACAATCGATACAGTGGATAAAAGGCCAAATTTTCCAGGATTAACCATTTAAATTAAACAATAAATTATTTATTGTTATTACTTCCCGATTTTTTTGCTACTGCTAATCATTTGATCCGTTTTAGCAAATTGTCGATTCACTAGCACTTAAAGGCTTTTAATTATTGATGGCAATGAAAGTAAAATCCCATCTGTATTATCAGAAAATTCAATTACGAAAAAAATCAATTCGAAAAATTAATAACCTATCAGAGGACTCGGGAAAAAATTAATTATTAATCGACAAAGCATGACTCTTGAAAAGTCCATCTACCTCTACAGTAGCTGTGAGTCGTTATTCGGTTTTCAGAACTTCAATGTAAAATGAGATAACAAGAAAAATGGGTACTTTTACATTCGGGTTTTTGCTTTGGCGGTTCTGGTTAATTAAGTAGTCCATGAAGTGAGGATTTGGATATTTTGTCTGATTTTTTAGAATACTCCACTTTATCTCGGAAATCTTCAATTTTCTTAATGTAGAATCATTTAACAGCTTTAAAACAGTGTCCAAACTGCTAAATGCATACCTATACATTAAGAAAATACAAGCTTCCCCGGATTAAGTTGAACATGCAGAAAATCGGGCAAAATGTTCAATTTCACTTTTTCAAAAAATGCTCACCAATGCTATTCCAAACTCAAGTTCAACTCAGTTGACTGCAGTATGCATCAAGAGAGATAAAACGACACAATTGCGCTCTTTCCAAATTCTAATTTCTATTGGCACTTTCAAAATAACAATTTGCTTCTATTAGCATTACACAACTGAAGGTATTAAATTAAATAAATCTAGGAAAATTTATAAGCCTTGTTTAAACTCGTCTACATTTAGTGATTACACAATCCATCAAATACAGTAACTATTATGATACCAATAGTAGTTTCCACTTTCTATTTACTCTAGCACGGAGGTTCCTAAAGTGGTAAGAGAAAAGCAGTTGATGAAACTCACAAAGCAATTAGGAGCAGTACAAATTTCTTCATTTCTTGTTAGAGGTATTCCGTCCACTTCTGCCATGAAGCTTTACACGAAGAAGTAAATCTATTAAAGTTTTACAATTGTAATTGATTTATTTAAGAAGTTTTCTTCACTACAAGAACACTAAAGTAGAAGAACTTAATCGCTGATCATTTTAAACATTGTATACATTGATTTCTATTAAATAAACTATAGAACATTTTGATTACATTGAACATTTTTAGAATATTCTGCTTTGAATCTAAAGTTATCAAAATCTTTTATTTGCTGAGTTATGGCTTCTTTATCGTTTTCCAACGAATTCTAATCAGTTGACTGGCAACTCAATACATTTCGAAACGGTGCTGCACATATTTTCTTTGCCATCACATCCTATTAAAATACCATCTGAATTCTTAACACAAATCCAAATAAATCTGCTTCATTATCTGTAAGCTAAGGAGAATAGCAAAGAAACCAGTATGTCCTTTAGACACAAGAGTCTGCAGTATTTGATTTTTGAGAAAAATAATGTGTTTCTGTGAGGAAGAATTAATACCGTTTGGTCGTTTTTTTCGTTACCCACATTTAAATTTTGGGGTAAATTTTTTTCAGCCCTTCTCAGAGGCTTGTTTTTAACTCATAGAAATCCTCTTGTTTTAAAATGATATTCAGGAATTCCAACATACAGTTTTATGGCATTTTTACGAAAACATCCAACGCAGAACCGACGTGGTGGGTTCAAAGTGTGGGCAGCCAGCTCGAACCCATGTATTATGGCAACTAGAGAAATTAGCAAATTGGAAACTTACTTTTGCCTTTGGCAACAAAGTCGTCCTCTTTGCTTAAGATATCTTTCCTCATTTGGGGGTAAGTGTTGCTCATCAGGTAGCTGCCGCTGCCCCCGTAGGCATGTTTGATTTTGGCGCCGTCACACACCCTCAATAATAAAAACAACACTAAAAAACCGAAAAACCACAAAAAGCGGGCTCTATCAGTACTCGACCGCGAAAGTGTCCGTCTTAAGCGTCTAACAGTCCATCCTAGTACCGAATCATTTAAACTATCACAGTTCTTCTGGTTTCGGCAAGTTTTACTCCTGGTATCCAAACCACCATTCCAGAAGTTAGATGGTGGTAACCAAATCCAGAGGTCCAAAGGCGACATATTCGACGCCGTTTAAAGGTAGATTTACATTTTCAGCGCGACGTACTATTCTCGAAGCAACGGTTCGAACTGAACTGCTGGGTAGGTCTGAAAACAAAACAACATACGGTTACCTTTTGGTATACCTGAGGTAGGCAGTACAGGTGAGAGAGTATCGCGCATCGAAACTACGAAGCGGCAAAGAAGTAATGTGTAGGGTCAGGAACGGTCTCGAAGAGGTTAAAGGTAAAAGGAACTTTTATGTTTCTGCTTACTTTTTTAATTTGAAGGATTTTTTAAGAGGAAAATGTCAATGAATTACCATTAGTGGGTATTCTAAGCTAGTCTATGCACCTTGTTGGATAGATGAAATAATGATGTTTTGATACTGGTTCATAAAATCTACATCGAAATGTAGAAAAATATGACAAGTTTTCATGTTCAAGAACTGTTTTTTTTTAAAGATAAACTGTTTCGAGATTTTGTATATTGCATTTAGGGCAGCGTTAGCAAGCATTACTTTTGTAGTGACTTGTATTTTGCTATTGCTTGTCTTTAAATAATCCGATTAATTGAGTTTAAAAAGATTCTTCCCGAAGTGTAAATCTTGATTGTTTATTTCCTTAAATTTTTTACAGTTTTGAGATTTCCAATAAGCAACCGCACTTTCCAGTTTATCAGTGTCGATTAGGAGCAAATGACATTGTTCGAAAGCGGAAACTTTCCGAATCAGAATCCAGCCCATGTTAATCAGTATTCCGAAATTTTAGTTGTTTTAAACGCTTCATCGAAGGCATTTTGTATTTTCGAAAGATGGAAGTTTAATTGGCAAGTAACGTTGGTTTTTTCATTTTGATTTTTCTGTCGTTTCTTCACTCAAAGTGGCTGCTTCAGTATTCTGATAATGTTGAAGTTGAGGAGTTTTTTTTTAATAATTTTTAAATGAGGAAGCGCAGTTTGGTAAAAACTTGCACTTTCATGTCCATATTTTCTGGGCCGGCAAAAATCAAGACTTTGGACGATTGATATGAAACTTTCAGCATTTGTCCACTCAAGTATCGCCTAACGATGGTGGAAATTTCAAGTTATATAATTTTTATAGTAGAACGCAGCTTTGTAAGCTTTGTTTACTCCGTAATGGAACTAGACATAGGATGGAACGATTTGAATTTGTCGCTAATTTGAGCGAAATACTTATGTTTGGGTACATTTCCATTAGGTTCGATTCCACACAAAGATTATTCGTTCTTGCGTATCTTCATAATACACTCTTTGAGCTCGTTCAGTTTGCTATTCATCACTTCATTACATTATTGTTGCATCAACTGCAGAACCAAGTACAGAATAGTTTAGGATATTTTAAACACAGGGTTTGTGACCTCTATAAACTGATTTTTCTATATCAAGTTTTCTTTAAACAATAATGTTTTGTGTAAATACTTGTATCACTTCCTGCTCATTATTACATTTTTCTGTAAAACTTCATTAAATTTATGTCTGAGTATCCTTACATTCTCATCAGATATACCTACTCAAGATAGATAGAAGAAAACGTTTTTTGAAAGTTACACCATGTTTTCTTACTTTTGCTAATTTTATAGTTAAGGCCATCAATAAAACATGAACAAGCAATTGAAGAAACCCATACAGCTATGTAGTATTATTGTTTCTTTCATTTTCTTTTTCTTCACATTTCCTTCACACTCAAATTTGTCCATGGAATTGTTATGGATATGCAAATGTTATAAACCTTTCCCTGGATTCCATATGGATTTTATTAATGTATAAGTTTTCGGCTTGTTTTATAGTATGTATTAGTATTTAATTTGTTGCATTCTCTTCAGTTGAAGTTAAGATTTTACGCGTTAGTGCTTTACTCCGTATGTCTTCTGTTGCTCTAACGTGTATTCATTTTTTATCCAATGTTCTTCTTTAGGTACGCCTTTCGTCTTTTGAATGCTTATTTTCATAGCATTGGAACTTATTGCTTTTAATTCAAATGACGTTTTAAATCGCTTCTCACATAAAATTGCGATATTTATTTCTTCGGGGATATTTCTGGTAGGTACTTAATTATTCAATAGATTTCATTGCTTCAATTTAGTCTATTTATTTTTCCAGAGTCATTTTTTAATTAAATACCTTTTGCCTATCCCAAAAGCATGCCACGATATCCTTACACTCTCATTAGGTGGATAGAACAATACTTTTTTTGAAATTTACACTATGTTTTCTTTGCACTTCTGCCAATTTTACAGTTAGGATCATCAGCAAAACATAAACAAGCAATTGAAGAAAGTCGTATTTGCGTCGTTGTGCGGTTATTGTTTCTTTAATTTATATCATTTTAGTACATATCCATTCGTATTTAATTCTTTGTTCCATTTCCCTGACGTACAATTAAAAATTTTGGCTTTAGCGGTAGTTAATTTGATGTCATCTGTTGTTCCAACATGCATTTTTTTTGACTTTTTCATTTATTATTGCGCAGTATTGGAGCTTGTCGCTTTCAGTTCAAATGGCTAAATAGTCTAAACTATTAATTCGGTTCCTATATAAAATTACGATATTTTTTCTTCTGGAATATCTTCTCTGGTACTTCATTTTTCAATACACTTTATTGCTCCATTTAACACTGTTATCTGTTTTCTGTTATCTGTATTTTAAATTTCTCCTTCATTCCGCTATCTTTTCAATTATGCGATATCTTCAAAGATAATTTTTAGGAATTCTTTCGCCAGCTGCACCTCTTCATTCGAGTAGCTCGGGTGCGATTAAACCATTTAGAAATACTTGCTGAAGAATTGATTTCTACAATTTCTTCGAGTAACCTTCAGTTTATCTTTAATGGTGTAGCCTCATTTTCAATGTCATTCGGACGCAATAATTCGTTGATAAACGCATCTTCATTGAAACCTTTCCTGAAGTCAAATTTCTAATGGTTTTGAAACCCTCGCCCATGACAAACTTGTCCAACTCAGATTTCAGCTTTTGAAACAGCACTTTTGAATCCTCAACATCGGGTATTCTAATTAGAGTTTCATGCCGTTTAGATGTTTTTGGTGTAGTCCACACAGAATTCTCGGGATTTGTGGAAGCGTTCCTCTTGGCAGTAAGTAGCATTGGATCGTAAAGCCATATCTGGATCCAAATTAGACGCTAAAGACATGTTCTCCGATAAATTCTTCTTCATTTTGAGCAGTGTGTGCTCTCTCTCAAGGCGGTTGATATGAATCAGAAAGTGCGAAAGGCATTTATGGACAGTGCCAGTAGCAGCCAAGAAATTGAGTTAATCATCATTAGAGCCATGGAACTCAACTACTTATATAGGCGAGGAGTATCTCGTTGGTGTCACACATCCATCCAATGCAGCCATTTGTGTCCGAGTAGCAGTAAAATGTTGATTACATTGCTTTTTTGAGTCGTTAGATATTAGCGGACTGGTATCAGACTGTCGTCTCTTATTTACAGCAGTAACCTCTCTGGCAATAGAAGCACCACTAGCCAGTGGATGAGAAACGGTAGGAGATCGAGAGATCGAGTTTCTGGGTTTAAACACATCAGCATCAATCCATATCAACAGACCCCGGCAGCTGAGATGACCGATCCATCGTATTTGGCAAATCAATGTTTACCTTTTTCGTGCATTGCCCGAAACAGATGATGCCACCTTTGATAATCCGAAACTCCTTCCAAACTGGAATCCCTCATCAGGTCTCGGAGGATCAGGATAAATAAGAGAGCAGCAAGCACTCACGAAACACTCAAAAACGCGATCCAAACAAAGGCAACAATCAGGAGGTTATTTTTAAGTTATCACGTATTGACTCGACGACGACCAATTCGCGACAATTTAATAATCAATGATCAAGAGCTTGTTATTAAGCTTGATCTCAAGCCCAACATTTTGCCACTCCAGATAAAGCCTTTATTTAAATCTTTTTCCGTTTGTTTGCAACTCCTTTATATTGTCATTAAATTTCATTTTTCTACAAAGTCCATAAGTAAGGATTGAGCTATTCCGTTATTAATGCTTTTACATCTAATCGGAAATGTTGAAATGATGAAAATCCATCTAGAAAAGTCTCATGTTTTAAACATCCCAATAAATAATGGAGTTAACTGTAAAAGCAAATATCGTATGCCACATGGATTCAAGATTTACAGCTTCAAATTCAGTTCACTTTAGGTAATTGTTCAAATAAACCTTGAAGAACTTAATGTATTGCAACAGACCGTTGTATCGATAGATAGTGACGAATATTGGATAGTAAATCCACATTTTTATTGACAGTTTCGAAAGTTAATTCAAATGATTTTAGGTATATTGGCTAACGCCTCATAAAAAATTGCGTTTAATTTTTTAACACGATGATTTTCGAAAGCCCAAAGCCAATATTTAATAAGCAAAACAAATGATTTTTTGCGAAATCGTATGGAAAAGTAAATACATTATCCGAAAGGACTATTGATAAACATTTTGCAAGTACGTTTCGATTTTGATATATGTGATAAGTATTTAGATTAGCTTTTAACTTATTGAACTGAAATAAACATTTCAATCGGTTAAAATCGGTTTAAAGGTTATGAGCTTGGATAAAGGTAGGAGAACTTTGCATAAAGGAACAATGCTAGTTTATAATCTATAAAGTTTAAGTGCATACCAACTACGAATTAGGCTGTAATTCTAACGATTAAAAATTAGTCTTATTTGGCTAGGAGCTTGTTCAAATATATTTCAGCGGTTGTTGATTATTCAGTCAAGTTCCGTGCGCTTAGATTTAAACTATATCATTAAAAACAGATTAAGGTAATATGGAAGAAATAGGCAAAAAAGTACCAATGGAATTCGTTTAATGACTGTTCATACCTCGGTTTTTGCTCATATTCACAAGAGATTTGCCATCAATTGTTCTATGGCATGTTTCGTCTCATTTGCGTGTCAGAATTTGGCGGAATCTATTTGATGAATAGTTTTTATGAATCCGAAACTACTAATAAAGCAATCGCTTCTTCATGGTTAAAACAGTTAAACGAAAAATTGATGAATAATTTGGAAAACAAGTTTCTTTGAGAGAAATCGATGTTTTTAGCGAGCGATGCAAAGAAAATAATAAGGAGACCGGCAAGTTGATTAAACGAATTTTAGCGCTACCATCCAAAAAAAGTGGAAGAAATTAAGAAACGAATAAGTGTCGATGTTTCAATTCTAAAAATATATTGAGCAATTATTAATTAAAAGAGTTTCGCGGTCATTCATGAATTTTTAGGGTATTTAGACCGTTGTAAAAAAGACTTCTTCGTGTTCCTGTTTCGTATCTTCTGAGATGCGGATTACGCTGAGACAAAATACCTCTTAAGATGTAAGCCACTCGTGCTTGCAAAACGTTAGGAAGAAATTCTTTTCAACTACGGCCTAACAGTTCTAACAACTTCCCAGATTCGGGGGAGTTCTTCCCATTACTCAAAATACCAATTATGTTTCCCGCCTTCAGATAGTTAGACTTCAGTTTCTAAAAAATGCTTAGAAATCTTGCAATATTAAGAACAAAATTAGCAAAACCACACCAAAACGACAACCAAAATCAAACAGGCAGTCTTTGATCAAATACTGAAGAAATTGTGGTCGATCTGTGCCGCTTCACATTGACGGTGAGCCGAATAGGAATATTTAAGAGAATAACGCACGAGGATGCTAAAATCCAAGAGGTGGAAGAGGTCCAGCACGCGACAAGGACGGAAATACGCAGTTATCGGTTAACGAGCGTGTAAAACAAAGAGGCGAATATAAATAAGAGACGGCCAGAAACCAAACATCAACGGCCGAGTAAGACGGCAACGCAACACCAAACGATAAAAGTGTTGAAAGTCAGCCTTGTGTTGTTTTGGTTGAAGATTTTTGCGGTTGAGGATTTTTTGAAGATCAGAAAAAGCCATTATTAGTAACAGCAACTCGGTTTATCTAGAGCTGAAAATGTATTTTATTATATCTTTATTGTCGCAAATTGTAATGAACTATATCAACTATCAACTAGAAGTTTTTCAAGAAATCATCTAGATTTTGATTGAGTTATTGGGTTAAGTAGATATATAACGATGTAAATTCCATTATTTTTATTTATAGCATGTACTTTTGTTGCTGAGTCTTTGGCAAAGGAAATCAAACCGGATTTTGAACGTTTTTATTGGTTAAATATGTATTAATTAATATCACACGTGTGGGTGTTAGAAATAAAAGAGCGGTCAAATCACGGTAAATGTAGGTTTTCTTCCACCACACTGACTTGCAATTATGTTGTACCTACGCATCGTCAGAATAATTAACCAGTTTATTAGAAAAATGCTTGGTTGTTCAACATTTTACAACAATTGTGCTGGATAATGAAGAATCACGATATAACGGATTAAATTTAATTGGTTTAAAGTTAGCTCTTGCTCAGTGCAACTGAATAGTTTTATTCAAAAAATATGTAAATAGAAGATATTATCAAATGCCATCAAAGGATAAAAGCTGAAGTTTTTTCTACTAGAATGTATATGGTTGCAGTCTTCTTAAAACCATGATGCCTGCACCTGCTTTCTTCAAATAAAAGGATTTTAGACAATAGTTTGAAAGTAGGCCAATATTTTCAACTCGAAGTGGACGTGAATATTTTGATATCGCATTCCTGTATGATTACTATTTACATTAACTACATTTTACCATTTTCAAATTTAGTTTAGTTTCTTTTATCAAGTGCAGCAAACAAAGCGAGAAAAAGGTAGATTTTTGTGGCATAGGAGAGTAAGTGCATGTTGGACAATCAAAAATCAATAATGATGATTTGATTAATGAACCTGATCTAGTTTGATTGAATTGTTGCCGGTAAAGTAACATTTTACATTATTTATTTAATTTTCATTAATATCTAGCTTTTCATTGTCTATTCTGAAGTATTCACGCTATATTTATGCCTCTTGAAAATGTAAAACTGAAAAGTTGATTGAAATTGCATCCTCAATAGTTTAGTACCAAGTGAGTAGAATTCTTTAAATAACCGGTCATTATTATATTGGTTTTAAAGAGATTAGAAATAATCCCTTTACAAAGAACTTTTCTTCGTTTTATGGGAAACTGAGCCTTTTAACTCATTAAAATTTACCACTTTTCCTGCACAGAGCAAAACACGCCTTGTCCACGTTTTCTATTGCAGCAATGCAGTTCTAATGCAAAATCTGTACTATTCATTAGACACTTTTTTTGAGCATTTGGGCTAATTTTGTTTTAGTTATCTCCACCAAAACGGAAAATTTGGCAAATTGTTACAAAATGTTTAAAGTATTGATTTTTACTCGGTCAACCTCGGGATGATGGGGGTTTATCGGTCTATAGATTTCTTATTTCTTATAGATTTAGTTTCGCCTACGTTTCGGCTGAACTTAAGCCATAATCAAGCATACATTTAGTGCTTCTTTGTCATAGACTAGGACAAAGGAGGGCATCTCACAAAAAGTGAAAACATTTAATTACCTTTCTTTTTTCTTCAGTTTCTATCAAAAAGCATCTATCAAAAGTTTGTATCAGTGTATAATATATAGGCCAGTCTAATAATATAAACAGATATCCTTTTTTTACTTGCTTTTTAAAATGAAAAAAGGAAAAAAGAAGAGAGAAAAAGCGGAAAAAGAAAAAACAGAACAATTTTTTTCTTTTTGTGACATGCTCTAACCTCTTGTCCTAAACCATGAGAAAGAAGCATTGAGAAAGAAGCAACTTTATGCTGTGATGATGGCGTAAGTTTAAAAAAAAGTTCTGAAATTCATATTAAATCAGATTATAAATCAAGCTGCAGGATAAAACGACAAATGATAAGAATGCAATCTGATTGTGTTTGATTCAACGTAAGGCTGCAGTTGCTAGGATAAAATTTCCTTTTTTCTTTATACTCAATCTGTTTGTAAGCAGAAAAAAGTATCAAGATTCTGGTTGCTTTATTAGAGATAAACGAAATAATAATGAGAACAGAAATGTTGACCATTTTCTATCGATTTTACTCATTCTTTATAGGTTGCCACATTTGTTATTACTGTACGCAATTTCATTTACTATTTTACTACGTTCAACTGCTTCGTTTTCCAACTCAACTTATTCGAATATAAAACTGGACGATACATTTCCAAAAACAACCGCCATTTATAGATTTTTGCTACAATTAACTGCAATTGATTCTTCGCTCCCATTATCTTCCTTGGTTTAATACTGCGATCAGTGACTACCAAACAGCAATCGACTTTTTAGCATAAACGAAATATTTCTATCAGTTATATAAGTTTCGCTTTTTGGGTTGTTCACCACTTCATCTTTTTGCGGTCAGAAAAGAGCCCTACTCGAGCTTTATTGTTTACCACTTGGGTCTGAAAGGAACAAATTACTTTGTTCTCTTACCTGGATCAAGGCACCCGCTGGGGTCTGAAAGCTGCAGAGATACGAAAAGGCGCACAACATCAGCGTCACCTTGAGAACCAGTGTCGTAACATCGATTGGTTCTCAAAAGGGCACCGAGTAGTAAGCAAATTAATATCAAGAAGTACATTGTTTGATCTCTTTCTTCACCTCGACAAAGGCTCAATTTTAGGTCGTTCTTCTTTTATTCCGGCAACTTTTCCTTTCCTCCAAGTAGTGTAAATCTAGGCAACATTCTGTTGAATTAACACGGAAATGTAGGTCTCTTACTCCTACGTCTATGTGGCAATATACCGACCAGCTCATGTAAATCTGGTAAGCGAGCAAGAAAACCAGTCAAAGACTCGCGCTGGCCACTTGTTAATTACCTGTTTAATATGTTGCCTAAACTTAATGGCCCCGGAATTATCTGGGATGGGTTTGTGCATCA